AGCCACTGTGGAAAACAGTATGGAGTTTCCTAAAAAAATTAAAATGGAACTCCCATTTGACCCAGTAATCTCACTTGTAGGAATATATCCCAAGAAACTAGAAACACCAATCAAAAAGGATATATGCACTCCTATGTTCATTTTACATTAGCTAAGATTTGGAAACAGCCTAAGTGCCCATCAGCAGATGAGTGGATTAAAAAATGGTGTTACATCTACACGATGGAATACTATGCTACTGTGAAAAAGGAAGAACTCTTACCATTCACAACAGCAGGGATGAACCTGGAGAGCATTATGCCAAGCGAAATAAGCCACTTGGAGAAAGATAAGTATCACATGATCTCACTCATTTGTGGAATATAATGAACAAAAACTGATGAACAAAAATAAATCCAGAGACAAAGGAGCATCAAACAGACTGTCAAACTTCAGAAGAAAAGGCAGGGGTGGGGGTGGGGTGGGGGAGTGGATGGGTAAGAGATCAAGCAAAGAACTTGTATGCAGGCATATGAGCATAACCAATGAACACAGACACTAGGTGGGTGAGGGCATGTGCTTGGGGTTGGGGGTAGCCGGGGAAAGGTCAGTGGGGGAAAAAGGAGACATATGTAATACTATATGTAATACTTTAAACAATAAAGAATTAAAAAAAGAAAATTTCCTTATGACCCCTGTACCATAAATGCATGCATAATATTTATGTTAAAAATTAAAGACAAAAAATTATTTAAAAAAATGATTGGCTTAGCCCTGGATGGTGTGGCTCAGTTGGTTTAGGGTCATCCCGTGCTCTGAAAGGTTGCTGGTTTGATTCCCGGTCAGGACACACGCCCAGGTTGCGAGTTTGGTCCCTGCACAGGAGGCAACTGATCAATGTTTCTCTCTCACATCAATGTTTTTCTCTCTCCCTGTCCCATCCTCTCTCTTTGAAATTAATAAAAAACATATTTTAAAAATAAATACAAATAAAAGTGATTGGCTTGAAAATACAGTATATGCACACACACATTATTTATATAGACTTTTATCTCTAATATCACATCAGTACATTCTGAATAATAAACATTTATTTAAGCACTAAAGAGTTAAGTATGCATTTGTAAAACTTCAAAATTAACGAATGCAAATGTAAACAATGATTTCAACTCCTTAGTCAATCAACCCTACCATACACACGGAAATGCCTTTCCCTAGAATACTCAGTCTAGATTCTATTTAGCAAGCTATTCCCTTATTTCTAGATTTTTACAAGTAAATTGTGAGATCTTTGACAGTATGGCCACTATTGCATTTGGTTCATGTTCAGAGCTTAACAATATTTGTATGTGAAATAAAAATATTTGCCAACAACAGCTGGAAGTCTTTCATAAAGTATGGAAATAGATGTGCTCACCCTTAATTTTGGCTCATTTTGTCTGTAATGGAGAAATATAGTTTTCAAAAAAAATATAGACTTTTAACTTGATTATCTACCCTTCAACAAGATTTTAGGCCTTTAAAACAGATGATTTATAAGCTCGTAGTGAAGCAATATAATCATTGGAAACTTTGAGTTATAGGTTCTTATCTGAGAAAGAATCATATTTCTCCATTGTGAAAGACTCCTTCAGGTAGTATGGCAAAACAGTTTAATTTTTAAATAAGAAAACTGAAGAGAAACAAATGGAAACAATTTCCCCAATGGTCTATAGACATTGTGCTAAAAATATGTAACTCCTCAATTTACATTTGTGCTTTGATGAAAATATTTAGTGAAATTTCTAATGCATTTATTGAAGAAAAAAATTATAGTAAAATTAATATGTAGGATAAATGGGCAGAGCCACTGCCAGAGGATTTTTAGGGCAGTTAAATTACTCTTTACAATACTATAATGGTGGATACATGACATTATAAATTTGTCCAAAAATCACAGAATATACAATGCCAAGAGTGAACCCTAATATAAACTATGGACTTTAGATAATAATGCTATGCCAGTATATTTTCACCAGTTGTAACAAATGTACTTCTCTGGTGGGGAATGTTGACAATAAGGATGCAGGGCATATATGGGAAATCTCTACTTAATTTTACTGTGGAACTAACACTCTTCTAAAAAAATGAAGCCTATTACAAAAAAACAAAGAAGAATGGGTATGTGATTGCTGATGGAACTCCTCAGTGCTTCAATTTGGGGTCTCTAACTTCCCGGAGTATCCCATACTAGTGTACCCTAGGGTTGAAACTAACCTTATAATTTAAGCATTTCTGTAATATAGAGTGTCCCACAAATATAGATGCACTTTGAATAATTATTAACTCCAATGGGTTAAATCTGAAAAGAAAGAAACATCAACTGAGCTATCAGAAAAAAAGAGTATATACATTTTTTGGGGGAACACCCTCCCTGTATTTGTGAGATTAAAAGGTCATTATATATTATTAGAGGCCTGATGCACGAAATTCATGCAAGAGCTCAGCTCTCGAAGCTGCGGCAGCTTGACTTGGTCAACATGGGCCCAGCTTCGTCCGGAAGATCATCTGGAAGGTCGTTCAGCTGTCTGGTCTAATTAGCATATTATGTTTTTATTCTTATAGATTATTTAATCATTGCACTTATAAAAGACAAATTCCTCTCAATATTTATACCAACTCATCTTCCAAAGCACTAGGAAAGTTAGGACTTCATGCTACCAAGGAAAAACATAGCTTACCTAGTACTTCGTTCAGAAATTGACCCCACTTCTTCTGATTATATGTTTGCAGGCAGAAGTCAAAATAGAGCACATAGACCATATTTTTTACCCTCTCCATGAATGTCATCTGATCACTTAATTCTGAAAAGACAACAGGTACGTAGGATGGAGGGAATGGAAGTCCTCCGCTGTACTTTTCAATTTTATAGCCAGGAGAGAAGCGGAGACTGTACACAAAAGGTATTTTAAGTAGCTCAGCCAGCAGCTCACCACAGGGTCCAATGGCATCTGCAAGAACGACATCAAACCTTGATTCCTGTAGCTTTGTCATAAGTTTCTTGTTCAAAACTACATCTTTACATAGCTTTTCAATCAAGTCAGAACCTTCCCAAAACATTTCTTGCATTAGTGAAATATGTGTCCAAAACGTATCTTTTGGCAGATCATATGTCCATTTATTGATCAGCCTCATGAAAAAATAAACCATATCATCTTTTGTTAAAGATGTAGGAAAAATCTCAAATTGAATAGCAGATGGTTTATTGGGATCAACAAGAATTGAAGCTGAAGATGTCAGAACAGTCACTTCATGACCTCTCTGGACAAGTGCATCCAGGATGGTCTTCATGTTGATCCAATGGCTGTATTCTGTGGGCCACACCAGCACCTTTCCACAACTCCCAGGGCTGAAGTGACCACTCAGCTGTAGCAGCAGCAGAACTGAAATCCACTTCATAGGCATCCTGGTGGCACACAGGCTTCTTTTCAAATGGCTGATCCCCTTTTACCTTGGCTCATGCTTATGTCCAAAGAGAAATCAATCAGGAAGTTAAAATATAACTCCTCCATCTGAAAGTAAAAACAGTATGGCATTTGGAGCACAAGTGGAAAAAGCAAAAGGTAGATGAATAGTTAGGCAATGATGATGACACAAAAACATGTCATACTGTTTTTTTCATAGTTATTAGATTCCATGCGAAGATACACACACAACCTGTATTTCCTGTATGTATGTATTTATTTATTGATCGATTGAGGGGAACTAGCTCATGTTTAATTGTGGCATTTTAAAATTGGACAAGTGCCCTAGCTGGTTTGGCTCCGTGGATAGAGCATTGGCCTGCAGACTAAAGGGTAGCAGGTTTGTTTCAGGTCAAAGGCACATGCCTGGGTTGCGGGCTCAATCCCCAGTAGTGGGTGTGCAGAGGGCAGCTGATCAATGATGTTTCTATATCTCTCTTTATCTCCCTACCTCTTTGAAATAAATAAAAATATATTTCAAAAAATAAAATTGGGACAAGTGTTTTGATATCTGCCCCTCCCCCCTTTTTCAGTTTCTTTAAAGTTGCAAGAAAACAGTAACCAATCACAGGTTTAATGGATTTAATAAATTTACCCCTTTGGCTCCTATTTGCAACACTCAGTATTTCTTTGAAACCCCAGACAGATTCAATGGTGGACAACAGTAAGTTTCAGACCTCTCGAGTTTAACAGTTCAGGTTCTCTGAACATTTTGTGTTGCAGTAGCACTCATTCAAAATGGTACCTCTTGTAGTTGGGCAACTTCAAATGTACCAGTTGAAAAAGCTTTTTCCCTTCAAGGGGAAGAAAAATCACTCCTCAAAACCCTGCAGATATGGCTGTGTGGTCTTTCCTCCTGTTCCATGTCTTCAGGATTTATTTTGTGTTATCTTTTTGTAGTGGAGCAAGAGACCAAAACCTAACCTGAGTGACAAGAATCAAGATAGTAATGGCTATAAAGGCAGTGACCAGGAAAAACTGAGGTGCTTCTTTACCTCCCACATCCAATATTTGTGCCGCACAGAAAACAACAAAAATAACAGGTCCACAAATTAGCTAGAATTACAACATCCATTCATCCAAGAGTGGTGTAAGGCAGGACAGTGAGGTGGGATGGAAAATGGCGTGGGGAGAAAAAGTATTCAGATCAGTCCATGGGGGTTGGCAAATGCTAGTAAAGAGCTGCAGAAGAGCTTGTGGTCCTTTCAGACTTACAGGCTAAAAATCCACATGGTGGTGTCAGGAAGATTGTACCTTATGTGCACCAGAGACAAAAAATCCAATTCCTTAGAAGGGAAGATGCAGACGGCCCTTGGCCGAATGGGTCCTGCCTTCCTTGGTGTGGGAGATGAACAAGGAAAGAGCTGAAAAGCCTCCAAACCCACTCATCCCCTCTGGATGGCAGTTTGGTAGGCGATGGATGCGGTGAAGGGAACTTCTCTGCAGAGGCTGAGCCACTCGGGGAAGACTGCAGGCAGCCACTGCTAATGAGCCAGGAGGCCCCATAACATGCTGGACTGTTAAAGAGTCTAACTCAGTGATGGTGAATCTTTTGAGCTCGGCGTGTCAGCATTTTGAAAAACCCTAACTTAACTCTGGTGCCGTGTCACATATAGAAATTTTTTGATATTTGCAACCATAGTAAAGCAAAGATTTATATTTTTGATATTTATTTTATATATTTAAATGCCATTTAACAAAGAAAAATCAACCAAAAAAATGAGTTTGCATGTCACCTCTGACACGCGTAACTGGTAACTGGTAACTCTTGGGCTTCTGACAAAGACAGCAGTATCTTCACAGCTTTCTGGGATTGCCTGTTCAAAGAATTTTGGGCTCTCTGCATCTCTTAGTTACAAACGTTTCAAAGGGATGAAGCACACAACACATGCCCACCTCCACTTGTGGCCTCTAGGGGTGGGGTGACCCAGAATCCGGAAATCGCTTATTGTGGTTTAGTCGGTGACAGACACTAGCTCTCCTGTGCTCAGCAACTGCAGGGAGTGGTGCTTAAGGTGGCTGAGAAGCCAGGGAAAACTTTGCTTCAAGTTTTGCAAGTCGGAAGGCTTCCAAGTGCAACAGGCTGCCAGTGTCCGAGAGGCCCAGCCCTGCAGCGATCTTCAACACTTTCGGCCTCTGCAGGCAGCCAGGACCCCGGTTAGGACCCAGCACCCTGCCTTCCGCGCAGCTGGAGGGAGCAGAGCGAAGACCCAGCCATGGCAAGGCCCAGTGTCATAGTGGTAGATTGCGTTTTGGCCCTTGAAACATGTGACCCTGGCCAACACGAGAGGCTGGTGGGCCAGCACCAGTCCTGAGGGAGGCATCATTGACAAGGTAGCAAATGGGCACATTGTCTGAGCAATCGGGAGCTGGCCATGGTGCCCCCCCAAGACTTCGGCCTGGCGGACTGATGCCTGGTCATGCAGTGCATAGTGGACCAATTAGCTGCTTTCTACTACGTTGTAGTCCGCAAGGCCAAGGCGGCCTGCATAGGCTGCTGCCGGCTGCAGAGCAATGGGCAGTGGAGCCCACTGCAGCCAAGGACTAGCAAGGACGCCATTGTCAGCTGCAGCTGTGGGTGCTCGCCCAGCTCAGAAGCACTACAGCCTGCTGAGCGCAGAGTCTCACCTGGGGACCTGGAGGCTTGGGCGCCAGGTGGCCCAGGAAGCAGCTGCTCTGGCTCCTGCTGCGCTGGAAGGCCGCTGCCAGCCTCTGTGTCCAGGGACTCAGGGCCTCCTCCCCCACGGGCAGCTTGGGCCCTTTAGGTGAGTACTTTCTGGCAGCCAAGGCGGCCTCTTCCCGCATAGATTCCTATGCTTGGTAAATATTTCGTGGGTAACAATTTACTGACTCACTTTACCTTTACCTGAAATCAGGGCCTTTGCCATCCTTGATATGTTATTGGCCATTTCTACTTCTGTGAATTGCCTGTTCATGTCCTCCATGTATTTCCATCTTGGAATGTTTGTCTTTTTTGTTTTTGTTTTTTGTAAGTTTTCTCACTCTACAATGATTACCAACCTTTATCAGTTATATGTGTTACAGATTATATCTGAGGAAAATTAAGCTTATATGCATGATTTGACATTATTACCTACAGAGACAATCTGTTATTTTGATGCATAGGCACTCCATCTTGCTACCATAATCTCTATTTTGTTGTTTGAAATTTTAACCCTGCTATTTTGGCTTCTGTAAATGCTTGCTTGCTTGAATAATAGGGAAAATAAGTTAAATTATCTGACCTTGCAAGCTTCTCTGTCCTTTCAAGTTGCTCTGTTACTGCTTCTAGCTACTGCCATGCAAGGTGTTTGTTTGTTCTCTGAAATGTACTGTGCTCAAGGTTACAAGCTGCCTGTGAAAAATAACCTACAGAGAGCTCTTTGTAAAGTCTGCACAAGGTCCGGAAAATCCCTTATTTGGGAGACAAAGGGACAGGAGTGGCTATAAAGGGAGAGCTTCTTCCATGTTGTTTCTCTCAGATTTGGGAAATTGCTCCTCTGAGACTGCTAGCATAATAAAAGCTCCTAATTACTACTTATTTTGGCTCTTTAAGGCGTCTTATGTCAGCTCATTGATTTACAATACAACATTTGGAGGCCCCAGCGAGATAAGAGATAAGTGCCTACCAGCACTCTGTCTCAGATGCCTAGGGCTGACAACCTCCCCCGGCCTGGCTGCCAGGCCTGGAGAATCTCTAGAGGACGGCCACCTGAAGAAGGTCCAGGGCCCCAGAGACGCCTTTCAGGCCTCAGCAGCCAGACGGGAGATACCTGACATGTCCCTCCATCCTTTTGGAGTCATCAGAAATACCCCTGGGGGTAAGTGAATTCAATTAAACAAATTTGAGTTCACTTTTCTGTTTGCTTGCTAGTGCGACCTGTCATTTTATTACTGAGAAGAAGGACTGGACGCGGTGTACCTTCTCTGGTAGATTCTCACCAAGACGTTGGTAGAGAATCTTATTCTTGGGGCGTAGGTTCAGGGAGGACCCCCATGTCTGTCCTTGTTAGGCCCCCGCATTTGTTTTTGTTAGGGGAGTTGAGCAGGAATCCGGTTAACTGCTTAACCTCCAAGTAAATGTCTGCTGAAAAGCTGTAAATGTAGAGGGAGAGGGCTTCCACTCTCCTATTCATTCATTGGCACAGGGGAGCATCTGTGTGGATCTATGAAAGTAGATCACCCACTCCTAACCTCATTTGTCTCAGCATATTTATTTGTTCATTGACTGGTATGTAAATGTGAGTGTGAGAGCTTGAGTAAAGCGAAAGGTACTTTATGTTGTCCTGTGCATTTGTTAACGGAGAGGTTTTGAGCCATCTGGCTGAAAAACAAGAGTGTTTGTTGATGTTTTGTCTTTTGCTTAATTTGTTTGGGGCAAGCCCCGCTTTAGGGGGAAGCCCAGTTGTATAGTGGGGCTGAACTGTAAAAGAAATTGCGGGATGACATTCCAGCAGCTGCTGAGAATCATTATCTTGGGAATCATCCTTCTCTTTCTTCTTAAGTATTAGCTTGCCAGAGAACTCTTAGCTAGGGAGGTTTCTGTCTGAGTAGAGACTTTAATTTACTTTTCCCTGATTTATGATTTTGTTGTGTTGGGTTAAAATTTTAAGACTCTAAGGTTGTAACCCAGTGAAATTTAAACAAAGAACCACTAGCTAGTTTATTGCATGCCTGTAAATAACAGGTTCTTATCTCCCCTTGCCCTAGATCGGTGGTAGGCAAACCGCGGCTATTGAGCCACATGCGGCTCTTTGGCCCCTTGAGTGTGGCTCTTCCACAAAATACCACGTGTGGGTGCACACTTACAGTGCAATTGAAACTCCGTGGCCCATGCGCAGAAGTCGGTTTTCGACCTGGGCGAGTCTATTTTGAAGAAGTGGACTCCATAGAAGCAAGAGGGAACTGGGCCGCAGACGAAGCAGCCTGGGAGGCTGCCCTAAAACCAGTGGTGCCCTTACAGATTCTGGTGACTCTCCCAGACCCTGACTTAC